ACAACCCCAGCTCTCGATAGATGCACCCCATCACGAGCATACATTTCATTTCTTCCATAGAAGTGTTCCCAGTTGTCTATGAAAGATATTGCATTTGATTTGCAATATCTTTCCAGCCGGGAATTGACACCAAGTGTCCTCGATATCCATTCATTTCCCACTCCCTTTCTTGGAAGAATGCCACATATGATCGGGATTCCTCCCTTGCTCCTAACTAACTCTATGGCTGTTTTATACCTCTGAATCAGTTCCTCACTCCTGACTCGACCAACATCATTTCCTCCCACGCTAATGCAAATAATGGGATTGTTCCCATTACCAGCCATAATATCATTCATGTTGTTTATAAAATCACCAATGCCAGCTCCGGGATAGCAAACCCTTAACCTGTTCCCCCTATCTCTAGCACAAAACGTTCTATCCAAATACCTTATCTGGGAATCTCCCACAACTAATGTTTGCTTAGGTACTTCCTTTACTTTCTGAGGGGCCTGCGCTTCCTTTCTCTTCGTTGCTTTCCCTTTTGCGCGATCCACAGTCTCTCCACAGCACTCGTCCTCCAAAACGTCAAATGAATTTGAAGTTGCTATGGCGTTTGAAGGCGGCTTTATCAAAGTCTTCTTAAGGCCCCTGTCTTTCGCAACTCTCCAAGACGAGGTCCCTTTACTGCTGGTCTCCTCCTTCGTTACTTCTCGTTGTTTTTTAAGCTGACGCACCTCCTCCCGCAGAGAGTCCAACTCTGTCCTCAGGGCTCCCACTAGAGTCACCAGGTCCTTAACTACAACTTCCATATTGCTATGGAAGTTGTAGAAAATTATATTAAAAATAAACGGTAAAAATATAGAGAGAGTTAATATATATAAATATTTAGGCATATATGTTGGATATACCCATGAGAGTTTGGAAGCTGAGATGAACAGACTGTTGGGTCAATGTCGGAAGAGATTACAACCTCTGAAGGCCTTGGCATGCTGTGGAAAGGGAGTGGGAGTCGAGAGAGAGAGAAGATTAAGCCACCCAAAAGGTGGCTTGGGCATGAATAGCCCATAAGTGGTGGCCCTTTTGAGCCATTTCCAGTATCAATAGACGATACTGGAGATCTGTGGAGGTGCGACTGCACCCTGCGTGACGGGAGATGACTCCCGTGGAGTGGGAGTCCCTGTGCTACGAATGATATACTTGAGTACTGTAAGATCTCTTATTGATTATGCTGCACCTGTCATTTCTTGTTTTGGTAAAGGTAGGATGGGCAAGTTGGAGAAGGTACAAAATGAAGCCATGAGAATTATCTTAGGATGCCCAAGAAATGCTATGATTGAGATAATGAGGATGGAGTTGAATCTGCAGAGTATTGGGGATAGAATTGTAGAGATAATGGTCACTGCTTGACGCAAGCGGGGATGTTTCTGGCGGGGGAGAAAGAAACAATTGCGCAGCGCGTCCCGCGGCGTTGCGCGGGCAGTTTGGGGCCGTATAAATACGGGCGCACAATGGGGCCCTGCCCTCACTCCGCCTGCCCTCGCCGCTGCCCTCGCAAAACTGGTATGGACTAACGCTAGGGGCAGCCTGGTTCAGGGGAACGTGGCCTCAGGTCTGGGGTCGGCTCAACATTGCTTTGCTCGAGCTCTACCCTTTCTTCATGGGCATAGCACTTTTCGCCCCGGTATTGGCCAATAAGAGGCTGGTGTGTAAATCGGACAACAGTGCAGTGGTAAGCGTGCTCAACACACTCTCTGCTAGGTGCCCCCTACTAATGCAAATTGTCAGGCCCTTGGCAGTGCTCTTACTCATCCATAACATTACACTCCTACCCTCCCACCTCCCAGGAAAATTAAACGGGGTTTGTGATGCTCTTTCCCGCTTACAGACGCTGCCGCCCTTGTTCCTGCGAGAAGCAGGCCTCGCCGAGACGCCGACAACAGTTCCTGCGCACCTCCTGCCCTGCAACTTCACCCTGCAACTGTGAGGACCCTATTCAACTCCCTGCGGCCAGCGACGAGGCGTACTTACAGGGCTAAGTGGGTGGAGTACGCCGCCTACGTCTCGGCAGGGCGGCGAGGAGAATGCCCCTTCGATGCTGCACCTTCGACTCTGGGGAACTTCCTGCAATCCCTGCTCTCGCGGGGCCTGGCTTAATTACCGCTCTCTGCACGCCTATCTAGCGGCCATCGCCTTCGTCTGCAAGCTACACGGTAGGAGGGACCCAACTCGGCAGTTCCTGGTCACCCAACTCCTCAAAGGGGCACGTAACTCCGCACAGCGGGCCCCTGCACGGCGTCTCCCTGTGACGAGGAGCCTCCTGCATCGTCTGCTGCGGGCACTGGGAGGCGTATGTAACTCTGCCTATGAGAAGTCCTGCTACAGGGCGCTCTTCTCCCTGGCTTTCCACGCCTGCCTACGCCCGGGTGAGGCGGTCTACGTGGACCATGGACGACACACGCTCAACCTTGAGCAGGTATCACTTACGACGGCAGGAATAGATATCGTCTTCAACACCTACAAGCACAGTGCAGGGCGCACGCCCACCCTCTCCCTGAGAGCGAACCCTTCCAGCAAGTACTGCCCGGTCCGTGCCCTGTCTAAATACTTTAATTACAGGGGCCTGGGCCCGGGGCCCATATTCAAACACGCCGCAGGCGCTCCTGTCACCAGGCGAGATTTCTCCAAGATCCTACGCTCTGCCCTCACGGCGATAGGCTTGCCTCCAGATGACTACGCGCCGCATTCCTTCCGTATCGGCAGGGCCACCCAGCTGTCTCGGGATGGGCTCGCCACTTCAGAAATAATGGCTGTCGGCAGGTGGAGGAGTAGTGCTTTCACATCCTACGTCAGGCGGGACGTTGTTGCTCTGCCACTTTGAGTGCCTCACGCGGCCAGCTGGCACTCGCCCTTCGGGGGGGGGGGGTCCGGCCGCTGGCCTGCGGTGGGGGTGCAGCGCCGGTCCCCAAGTGTCCCGCTGTCCGCAGCTAATACTTTGCCCAGTCTAGGTGCTAGTAAGCCCTACTTGTAGTCACCCCCTTCTCCTTATTCATTAGGTCTTTCCGGCCTCTTGGTCGGGTACATTATGTGTTATGTGGTCTCTCACTTATTAGTTACTCTTTGTGTCCTGCCTGTTATATCCTAGTGTTATATAATTACTCACATTGGCATTCGTCCTTAATTCTAGTACCAGTTAAGCTTTACGTTTCTGCAGAATTAGTTTCCATGTCACTATAGGCTAGGTCTCATAATTACTACGGGTGTACCTTTTAAGTTAAATCTAGTCCTCGGACTCGGAATTGTTACTGTTAATTCTTACTTTATATATTTACATGTTCTGCAGAATTTAAGCTTCAATAAACTTTAACGCCCCATGCTGCCAGTATCTTTCTCCCCCTGGTCAGAAAAATGTAGCCTCTGCCATTAGATTAATGAGAGGTGGGGGAGCTAATGAATTAATCCTCTCGGGTCAAAAGGTGGGAAGTAGTGAACAGTGTATGATGAAGAAGAGAGTATATATGAATAACTTATGTACTAATGTTATAAAGTATGATATTATTACAGAGTGTATTGTTGTGCCCAAGAGAAAATTTACACCACCATGGGAGGATTGTAATGTAGATGTAGTAATTACTCCCTTGCAAAAGAAAAAAAGTATGTATGAAATAGGAGAGCTGAGGGCAACATATGATTGTATAATTAGAAAACTGCCTACAGAAAACACTCTACATGTATATTGTGATGGGTCAGTAGCTAGGGATGGGAAGGCAGGATGTGGAGTCTTGATCAGGGAGTACACTGACATCGGCACTGTAGATACTGTTATTGGACGCCATTAACTGACAATGTCTCTTCAACGCAAGCTGAACTCCAAGGTGTATTAGTAGGATTACAGGAAGTAGTCAAATGTGGTAAAAATGCTTGCTTCTTTATTGACAGCAGAGGAGCGTTAGAGTCTTTAAATAGCAGACGCCCAGTATATCAGAATATTGTGATAGAGTGTAGAGAGAATGTTAAGAAATTAGAAAAAACTGGGTATAAAGTAAGATTCATGTGGATCCCTTCACATGTGGGAATACTGTTGAATGAGGTAGTTGATGACATAGCGAAGAGAGCCACTGAAAAAACTCTTGTTGATGTTGTATGTCAGTTAACCTTGAAACAAATAAAAACAAGAATCAAGATGATCCAAGAGGGTGAAGAAATTATAAAGAGAATGGCAAAGGTGGACAGTAGTAACACACTTAAGAATTATTCAATAATAAATACAAATTCGTCCTTCACTTATGGTAGATGAAAGTCTACTTGGAAGGATTCAATTTACATGAGATTAAGATTAGGATACAAATATATCTGGCAATACGGTGTTGATGTCAGTGAAAAAGATAAGGAGTGTAAATTATGTAGTATGCCGCACGCCCACACCTTAGAACATTATGTATTAGAGTGTCAACTTATTGAAAACTATAGAAATAAGGAAATAAATAGTGTACCACATCAAATTGTTTGGATGTGTGATAATGGTATGATAGACAGTATACTTAGGAGCTACAAGAATTTTGCCCCGAGAGTGTAACAATTATATGCTGTACTTACTATATAAACCTGCAATGTTAAATGGGATTCTTGTAATGTTATTTGTCTATTTGTACTCACTGAATTTGTGCGCCCCTTGAGGGACTTGAAGTAGAGGGGGTAGAAATAGCCTAAGCTACTCTATCCCTTTGAGATGTATTTATTGCTTATCTCAATAAACATACTTGAACTTGATGTGGTACACTATTTATTTCCTTATTTCTATAGTTTTCAATAAGTTAATAAGTTTTCAATAAATGAATGAATGAATGAATGAATGAATGAATGAATGAATGAATGAATGAATGAATGAATGAATAAATAAGAATAAGTTAAAATAAATAAATAAGAATAAGTAAAAATAAATAAATAAGAATAAATAATTGAAATTGAAATTGAAAATAAATAATAAATAATATATAAGATGTATTGGTTTTGGTTGCTGGTGAGTGTTCGTGTTGTTTACATAGAGGTGGCGGGAAGAGGGCTACAGCTGGGCTCCAGGCCCGTCTCTCAGTTGGTGGTGTCGTCGGGAGTCACCTCTATCCTTACTTAAGTGGCTCGAGGGAGGCTAAGGAATAAAGCCAAAGGTTAGTACTTGAAGTTACAGCCCCGCTCCTGTGCCAGGTAAGTCCTCTACGGGCTCACCATAGCCCGTGCTACTGGGAACTTTTGGTTCTCAGTAGCTGAATCTTAAACAACAAACAAGCCTGAAGATTTTCAATTATATGGTTCCTCATCGGATTTCAACCAATCCTAGACATTTATATACCACAGTCTATCACAGATTAAGACAGTAGTTAGTAACAGAGCAATGCAGGTGCTGTACAGTGACCACAACACAGCAGTTGCAACATCAGGATCTGCGGGTTGGTACAAGAATTCAACCAGCTACGAACCACTTAGTTTGATGAAAGGCAGCAGTAGAGCAACAGAAGTACACTTACATCGCATCAGGCTAGGATACCCATGTGCATGGGAAATAGGCTTACAGGTTCCGGAAGATGAGAGGAAATGTCAGCACTGGAGAAATGCCCGACAGACCACTGGAACATTATCTAACACAGTGCACAGTTACAAACCCATTACGATTTCAACTTGGATTCAACAGAGCAGAAGTTGTTAAACACATGGGGTAAAATCTTACTGAAGTGACCATGAGTCATAAATGCTCATACTTCTCCCAAGTAAAACAGAAACAAGCAACACTTAGTGGGCCAGCCAGAGGCTTAGGGCCCGCGCAGGAATATTCCTGAAAAAAAAGGAAAAAACAAATCCTACACAGTCCCACCAAAAGTGACACGCAATGTGGGAAATCATTCATATTTGCAAACATACAAGGCTTGAAACCAAAATCAAGAAATATAAATGGCCTCCTAATAGAATCGAACTCAATATTTGGTGCATTTACAGAAACCCACACAAAAGACCACATGGATAGTGATATCTGGATTCCGAATTATAATCTATATAGATGAGACAGAGTAATTAGGTCAAGTGGAGGAGTAGGTCTGTATATTAAAGAGGAGCTGGCATGCACAGAGTTCCTGAACTCGTCCAATGAGGTGGTAGAGGTCCTTGGAATCAAGGTAGAAAATATGAATCTACTTATTATTTTAATATACAAACCGCCAGATGCAATAGTTGAGGAATTCACTGAACAGATCCACAAAATAGAGAATATCCTTGATAATCTAGCAAACCCAGTACCAGATATCATCTTCCTTGGCGACTTCAATCTACCCAGTTTAAAATGGAGAATAGTAAACAATAACATCATAGCAGGAAGTCAACCTGGAAATAACCAACCACAGGTCAGAGAACTACTGAGATTCTGTGACAAATTCTTGCTCAATCAGCAGATTACAGAACCAACTAGGAACGAAAACACACTAGACCTGATATTCACGAACAATGAGGAGCTAATCAGAGACATTACTGTCTCAGACACTACGTACTCGGACCACAAGCTCATTGAAGTGCAAACTAACATTAATAACACAATATACTTGGCTCTTGTCAATATGGCTTCAGACCCCAAAAAAGCACTAACGATGCACTTATTAGTATGATTAACTTTATTCATGCAGCTCTTGATAAAAGTGAGTTTCCTGTTGGGTTATTTGTGGCTGGGTTGACAAAGACAAACTATTTAGCACGGGTGGAACACGAACGAAAGCGGAAAGGCAGAGTGACAGCCCCGTTCCTGTGCCAGGTAAGTCCACTACGGGCTCACCATAGCCCGTGCTACTTGGAACTTTTAGTTCCGGTTATCAGAATCTAAAACAACAACAAAAAACAAACGAGGGGAGTCGGGGGACACAGGTGAAAACTGAGTACCCAAATGAGCCACAGAAACGCTAGAAAGAACATTTTTAGTGTCAGAGTTTTTAACAGATGGAATTCATTAGGCAGCGATGAGGTGGAGGCAGACTCCATTCACAGTTTCAAATGTAGATATGATGATGGAGCCCAGTAGGCTCAGGAATCTTTACACCAGTTGATTGACAGTTGAGAGGCGGGGCCAAAGAGTCAGAGCTCATCCCCTGCAATCACAACTAGATGAGTACAGTGGAACCTCTATTAACGAGTGGCTCTATTAACGAGTTTTTCCAGTAACGAGCAAGCCACTCGCAGCAAATTTGTCTCTATTGACGAGCTCGCCTCTATTAACGAGTGAAACCACATGGTGCTTCCTAGCGTCTCGCGGGTTCTCGCAAATTCTCGGACGCCTCCGACGCCAGTGTTGTTGTTGTATCTCACACGACAAGCATCCCTCTGGATTTATTTGAGCTTTTCTTTGGGTTTTTAGTGGTTTTGCGACTACAATTTGTAACACGATGTCTCCAAAGAAGCTGCTTGCTAAAGATAGTGTTGTCAAGAGGAAGAAAGACACAATTACTGTGGATTTAAAGAAGGAAATTATAGCAAAGCATGAGTGTGGTGTCTGTGAGATTGATCTCACAAGGAAGTATGGCAGGTCCTCATCAACAATTTACACCATTAGTAAGGGAATGAGGAGGTAAGGGAGGATGCTGCCTCTTCCACTGAGATCAGGGAAGTGTTTGGAATGTTTGAAAAGGTGAACGCATTCTTGGAAAAGCTGCCCTGATAAAGCAGTGACAACCCGATGTGTGAAAATGTTTAATTAATTTATCACTTTGTGATAACACTATGAAAGTGTTATCACTTTCGTAGGTATATGTCGCTTGAACGTAACACTTTTTTTCTCTTGAATGCACCCAAACACCGCGCTCAAGCGTCATTTGAGCAAATATTTCTATAAAATTCAATTCTTATCCGATCGGCTTGGGGATTGTATACATGTTTGCCATGAAATTTCCATTTTCTTTAATAACCACATTGCCTATTTGAGAAAACGGCATTATATTGTATCTTCGTGGTAAGACTATTATATTGTTGACACAATGAGTGTAATCAACGTAGTTTTTTATTTGGTGCTGGTCTAATGCATCCTAGTGTGACATTTGAAATGAAATTTGGGTGAAATTCCCAAGAAGAGAGAGTCCGCCTGACTCAGAGGTGGATTCTCCTTCCACACCATAACCCCTCTCATCCTTCCCACCTCCCCATCGTCTCCCTCAAGCCAGCAACTACTCTTCATAAGGTAAAGTAAATATTAAAACACTACAACAAAACATTTATATTTACATGTGCAATATAAAAATATATTTTTTTACATAAAAAAAAGTCATACAAGTATGGATGTTTTTGGGAGTGGAACGGATTAAATTTATTTCCTTTATTTTAAATGGGGAAATTTGTTTCCAAAGACAAGTTTTCCAGGTAACGAGCTCGGTGCCAGAACGGATTAAACTCGTTAATAGAGGTTCCACTGTACAATGTAACTTGCTGAGATGTGCTAATTCTGGGGTACGTACCCGTCCTAATTCTAATAGGACGGGTACGGGTCCGCTACCTCTCGCAGGACGGGCACGGGTCCGCTACCTCTCGCAGGACGGGCACGGGTCCGCTACCTCTCGCAGGACGGGCACGGGTCCGCTACCTCTCGCAGGACGGGCACGGGTCCGCTACCTCTCGCAGGACGGGCACGGGTCCGCTACCTCTCGCAGGACGGGCACGGGTCCGCTACCTCTCGCAGGACGGGCACGGGTCCGCTACCTCTCGCAGGACGGGCACGGGTCCGCTACCTCTCGCAGGACGGGCACGGGTCCGCTACCTCTCGCATGACGGGTACGGGTCCGCTACCTCTCGCAGGACGGGCACGGGTCCGCTACCTCTCGCAGGACGGGCACGGGTCCGCTACCTCTCGCAGGACGGGCACGGGTCCGCTACCTCTCGCAGGACGGGTACGGGTCCGCTACCTCTCGCAGGACGGGTACGGGTCCGCTACCTCTCGCAGGACGGGTATGGAGGGCAAATACACAAACTAAGAACTCATCCAAGTTCCACTTGGCTAACTATTGACTTTACCCAGTGATGACATCGCCTTCTCTAGGGTCATTGTTCATTTCTCCCCCCCCCCCCCACACACACACACCCTTTTGCCTGAGTTTACCCGAGAGTCAGTAACATTAGAGGCCTCGATGAGTACAGGCGGCTTGTCGAAAGTGCCCCCCCCCCCCATTTGCCTTGATGATCTTTTCCAGTTGTACTTTAAATGTTAACATTTTATCATAGGTGGTTAGTTACTTCGTTCCCATCCCAGTGTTTTGGCCTTGTATCCTCATGGGGGTATGATCATTTCGAACATGAAACGATTCGACGAAGCTCGTTTTCTTTTTGTTAAAACTGTATATTGTTGTGCTAGGCTGTATAACCTTGAGTTATCTTGAGGTTATCTTAACCTACCTTAGGTTAAGCTAGTGACATTATCTTAACCTACCTTAGGTTAAGATGTATTGGGCTTAGTTGGGTTAGGTTAGGTTTGCTTGGGTTAGGTTAGGTCAAGTAAGTTTCAAAATCCTCTGACGAATCGTCTTGTGTACGATGTGACTTGTATTCCTCCTCATGTCCATTAGCTGGAAGTTAACCTCGGGAATAATGGGTGGATCTTGGACAAAATCTGGCTTTCTTACCTTGTTAAAACCATAAGACTTGGGTAAATTCTGGTAAAATCATAGCACTTTGTCCTCCTATCCCATCCAAGTGTTATATATCTCATCCAAGTGTTATATAGGCATCTTGGCTAAGTGCATTTTCCTTATAATTACATTATCTTGCTAGTGACATTACCTAGACAGATAGGCCTATGGTCATCTTGTACCCAAAGACAGTTTGTACATAGGTTTTTGTACCTATCTGCAATCATGTAAAAAGGACACTTATGTGAGACATTCAAGTATTGTCGACAGAACTTGGGAAAAATGAAATTATAATTTTCGCAGTTTTAGAATTTCTGGACTACTTGGCCAGAGTAATAAGATGTAGATCACTTTGTACATAAAATTATTTGCCAACGAATTTTATAATCTATGTAACCTATCCCAAACAAATTTAATCCATTCAAGTGTAACAATAAATATAATAATACAGGTATTAACTCGGTGTCGGAGGACAGGCAGCAAGTGTATGTTTATACACGTTAGGCTTATGTTGAGGCTTAATGTAATGACAAGGTCAAATTACAGACCAATCCAGAGTGCAACCCCACAACAAGCTGACTAACTCCTGGGTATCTACGTGCTGCTAGGTGAACGGGTGCATTAGGTGATAGGCAATATGCCCAACCATTTCTCTCCCGCCCAGAAGTCTTGTGTGTCGAATGAACCAGACTGTACTACCGGGACCATAAATATATGGCTTTTGCAGGCGATGAGCCACAATAACGTGGCTAAAGTAATCGACTTGAGAATGGTCCAGGACGGACCGAAACGTCGTCGTCCCTTCACATTCTAGTGTGTGGTCTGGTCATTATATGGCTTTTAACAGAAAACCAGTCGTGTTTGGAAATTCCTGTGCATTATTTGATCCATACCCTGGGTGATAGAGGTCACTTCATATTGATTAATTATAAGATGCAGTTCACTTCATACTTAAGGATACAAATTACTTCATACATAGGTTTAAGTGGCTTACTGATTTACGATATTTTAAAATCGATCTCGCCTTCTTTTACTCAACTTGAACTAGCTTAACCTAAAAATACTGTATGTTGATTGATAGCAAAGATATACAGTACAGCTTGTGTTTTAATAAAGATTTCCTAAGCTGTCCTTTTTCATTTGGAGCTCAAACTGAGAAAAGTGCCCATCTGGTATTTCGGTAAATGGTTGCAGTGACAACGAAAACATCGGGAATCTCGGTGCATTACAGTATATTTCATGATAAATATAAAATAATTCCCTCTTTTATGTGTTTACATTGTCAAGGATTATTTGCCTTGCTACTTTCAGGTCTCTAATTTCTTTCAAGCAATTGCACATGTTGTGCTAACACTTTCTGGTGAGAGTTTTCTTGGTTTTGGGTCGATCTTGATCTCCAAGCTCCTTGCCTTGTTGAGAGAGCTAGATTTTGGTTCAGGTTTTGGTAGACAAGGGCTAGTCTCAAGAGGCATGGGCATTTTAATGAGACATGGTTTGACTAGTGCTTAGCCCAGGAGAGCTAGTGAGGTCTCCAGCAGAAAAAGGCTTTTCATTATGGCCAGTACTTGTTATTACTCATAACGTTCTTTAATATTATAGATGTCTCTACATGGGTCCCAGAGAGATGATGATGATGACGACGATAGTACTGAGGTGGATGACGGGAAGAGACGAAGTTACAAACGGCACAAACCATGTCGTGAGAACAGCAGCAGCAACACGAGTACATCCTTTGATCTACAGCTATCACATGAGGTGGGTTTGGTAATGTTTGGTATTATTAATTTTCCTCACTTTCATGACTTTACAGTTTTACTAAAGTATTAAAGTCATATTAAGTCCAGTACTGTACTCTTATTATCATTAAAAAATGTTCAACCACTGACATGGAGGAATGTTAATTTTTAAACAAATGGTAAGGCTTCCAGTTCACTGGGATTTGGTGATTTCCACAGGAAGGCGTTTTGTTTCTGGCCTAGTGTGTTTATTGCTCCGAATGGATGTGTTTTCTTATTTTCCGTATAATTATAAGAGGACTTCTTCCAATACTCTCCTGCCCCCATTCCCACCTTTGCAGATTTTGGTTGTCTTGTCCCCCCCCCCCCCGTAGTTTGGCCTGACAGGACTTGCTTTTGTACTTCTATGAAAAGGAACTAGGCATTTGTGCTGGATCCTCACTCATTGAGTTTATCCTTTCCACTTCCTGGCTTCCAGACAACCCCTTGTTTAACAAATGAATATATATTATTTTACCATGTTAGAGTGTTACTTCCTTAAATTAAAATCACATTGTAAATTGGTTTACAGTATACGAAAGAAAATCTGACAAGATGTTTAACACTGATAAATTCTAGATATCAGTACTTAAATATGGTAAAAAGGAATAACCTAAATGAAACATAGGGTATAAGACACAATCAGCAATTGGATCTGCTCACAGAAAACATGTAAAGGATCTAGGAATAATTATATTGGATGACCCAATGGTTAGTGAGCATAATAAAAAAAAAAAAAAAATATAGCATCAACCAGGAAAAGGACAGGACGAATTATGAGAACTTTCAAATCCAGGGATGTCACTACAAGACTTGTATTTTTCAAACCCTTTGTGTTTTCTCGCCTTAAGTACGGCTCTATACTGTACTCATTTTTTCCTTTCAAAGCAGGAGAGATTTCCGAGATTAAGGGAATACAGAGGACATTGACAAGATATAGCACCTTAACTACAGTATTGGGACCATCTTCATACTCTCCAAATATACTCTAGAAAGGAGACGAGAGGTATCACATAATATATATACTGTACACTCATACATTGAAAATACAGGATGTCCAGGTCCCAAATTTGCATGGTTAAATAACATTCTGGAGTGAAAGATATGGTAGGAAATGTAGTATAGACCCAATGATGAGAGCTATCATAGGCACAATCAGAGAAGAGTGTATGAGCATCAGTGGTCCACAGCTATTCAGTATCCTCCTAGAAAAAATAAGAAATATTACTGGTTCAAAAATGTGTTCAAGATAAAATTGCACATTACTGAAAAAGGTGCCAAACCATCCAGGCTGTAGTGGATATGTGGGCCTGTAGGTCACTTCAAGCAACCAGTAACCACAGTTACCAGAAGTCTGCAACAGTTACAAGTCAAGCCTGGCCCCAGGCCAGACTTGGGGGGGTAGAAAAACTTTCGGAACCCATTCCAGGTATACTCCAGGTGTCAATGTGCAACCCATCCTCCTGTTCAGATGGTACCTATTGTGATGGTCGTCAGTAGTCACGAATTCATATGTACAGTACTGTATTTAGCTTTTAGATAGTATATTGACTAGTAAGGAATTCTTTTATTATAAATAAAGCTAAAATCAAATTTAAATATTCCTAGGCTGTGTATAGCGCACACATGTACTATATTAGGGCTGAGATATTGTGTATTAAGCCTAGGAAGGATAGGTTAGGTTTAGTTTGTGAAAGCAACACAAGTAAAAAATTTTCTGGTTTGTTCAACTCAATAGGGCCAATTTCTACTTTCGGGTGTGTTCTTGTGGGTATATTATGGCAATACTAGTAATATACTACAAGTACTACCACTACATGAGGATGGGCTGCAGTGTGCCAGGTATACTCCAGGTGTCAGTGTCTTTTGTGATGTTTCTTCATTTTTGGCTTTTCCATGATCCCCTGTTGATGCCTAATACAGTCCCCTCATACTGTTTGGTCTCGGTAGAACCTCTCTCATTGCCATTAGGCATGTATACATTGTTGTAATGATCAGTTAAGGGTGGGTCTCGGAGGCCTGCAGTATCTCCCCAAGGCATTTGCTGCACCTGTGTTTAGCTAGGAAAGCTACCGAGTACTTCACAAGGAAATGGTGCTGCATTACATTTAACACTTGATACTGTATTTTCTAGAGGGAACCCTTCGGCTCCCTGGAGCTATCCAGGCTGATATGTAACTACAGTACTGCATTAGCGTTCTGGCATCAAAGTGCATGGAGTTCTTGCCTATCGGGGACCATGAGCCAGAACCTGGGCCCCCTCAGAGAGGTGCGAAGAGCAATGGCCTATAGAAACCCCCGTGTGGTCGGGAGCATTCTATGTCTGCCATTGACCGGGTCGGGCACCCAGATAGACAGGCACCCCAAAACAAATCAATATTCTGGTAAAAATATTGCTACCAAAAGCCGAACGAGTGGACAGAGCTCCCCAATGAAAATTAGTAAATGAGCATGACTTCATCACGTTGCTTTGCCCGCAGTCTGCGCAACCCACCCCACCTCCCCGGGAGGGGGAAGGGGGAGCCCCAGACCCCTTGCGCCAGTGATCCTACCAGCAGTTCTTAGCTGATGTGATACTGGCTGGTCGGGTGCCTCTGGCTCCAGTTCTTATTTTCAGTTCCTGTAACTTGTGGCATGATCTGTCTCTACAGGTAGTGTGTGAGCCAGGAGTAATATTCTACGGTACTCGAGTTGCATGCGCTTAGGGTTCCTATCCTAGGTGCCCTGTAAGTACTTCCCTTGGGGCCACCTTCCACAAGTCACCTTGGGGCCTACCTCCGCTGTGTTTTTTACTGCTTGGTACTTGGCCGCCCTTGGAGTCGGCTGGGTTTTTTGTTGCCCTTGTTTGCCTCTGGGTAGGAGGTAGTTTTTGTCACTGCTAGGGGCACAGGGTACTGCACAGCTAGTTTTCACCTATTGTAGCAGCCGACTCTGTTCCGCCTGGGTACATTGTCCTCTTGCGGGGCTTTTCTTTTGTTTTCGTTTCCCTGCTTGGTGGGGGTGGGGGTCTGCTTTTGGTTGATTGTCCTCTATCTATATGTACTTGGGGGGGTCTTTTGCTAGACATCTGTGTTCTTGTTGGTACCTCCTGCTTGGCCCTCGTGATTGGGGCCAGCAAGCCGAGCGGACAGCACACTGGACATGTGATCCTGTGGTCTCGGGTTCGATCCCGGGCGCCGTCGAGAAATGATGGGCAGAGTTTCTTTCACCCTATGCCCCTGTTACCTAGCAGTAAATAGGTACCTGGGAGTTAGTCAGCTGTCACAGGCTGCTTCCTGGAGGGTGGAGGCCTGGTTGAGGACTGGGCCGCGGGGACACTAATGCCCCGAAATCAACTAAAGATAACCTCATGAGTGGACACATCCCGGGGTTTCAGCTTTAGAAGCTTGCTCAGTGGTTTTGGGCGCCGGTTCGCAGTATCCTGCCTGGGCTTCCCTTAGTGTGACACCAAGGCTAAGGGCCCTGGAAACCCCACGGACACTCCGTGGTCCAATGAATACGACCCTTAAAACCCCAAGGGGGGCTCCATGGTCCGATGGATGTAACCTTTGAGTCCCCTCTCGCTTCGTGTGAGGTTGATGGTTGCTCTGTCCCATTGTCTCGGGGTGACAATCACCGGTTGTGCCTCCGCCATGCTGCCTGTCGGGTCGGTGATTCTTTTGATCCGGAGTCATGTGACGTTTGTTCCTTATACATGCTCCAGTTCACCCAAGCTACTGTACATGAAATGAGGGGGTCAGACAGCAGAGGTGTTGCATGTGCAGTTTAGGTTGCTGCAACGCGATAGGTTTGTTGCTTCCCAGGATGCCCAGAGGCTGCCCCGTTTTGGTTATAGGGACCCAAAACTTTGGGGAGTGGGAGTTGCTTCGACTTTGGTTCCGTCCGCCTCTCCTTGTCCTTCCTCTTCGGTGGTTCATTCGGTCCCACCCCTTCCCCTTTCTGCCTGTTCCAAAACGTCTGAGGGTTTCGGAGGCGGGGCAGGGTTTAGTTGGTATTGAGACTGGGGCGGTATCGGGGAAGTCTCCTTTCGGGGTTGCGGCGGAGGCATTCGAGCCTAGTCCTCTAGCTGGAGGTTTTGGGTTTGACCAGTGGGCCCCCTTCATTCCTGCTTTTTCAGCTGCTCCTGCCTTTTCTTTAGAGGTGGAGGGTTTGGAGAACTGCTCAGCCTTGGGTCCCAGAACCTCGGGGTGAGGTTCCCAGGGGCAGGGGAGGAGTTACGTTAGGGGCCTTGGGCCTTGTTGGACCCCGCCTGGGTTTTTGAACCCTCAGAGCGAGGCTTGGTGTTACAAGGAGGGGTTCTCTTTTTGCTCCCTCCTCATAGGAATTGGATTTGGTGTCTACCCCTCACCTGGTTTGGTTCCGTGATCCTGTGGTTTCCTTGGTCCCGTCCTTCAGGAGGTTTTTGGCTTTGCATGTCTCGTCTTGTGTGGTGCGGGAGGCCCTAGCTGCTTACCTCCTGCGCGACCCGGATTATGCTTTCGTGATGGATCAGTGTTCCTTTGTGTATGGATCCTTGTGTCCTTACTGGGTTCGTTATGAATCTCCAGAGTCATCCAGGTTGGCAGACTGCCTGCTCTTCTTGTTGCAGGCTTGGCACACGTTCTGTTGGTCCCGCGCACTTGAGTGGAAGGAGGCTCAGACGGCATTTCAGGTTTTTCTTCTTTGGGGAATTTGAGCATCTCATTGCATGTTTGTTCGCCCCTGCCCTTCTGGGGAATGTTGGTGTAATGCAGCTTCATATGCAGATTCCTTCCCTTTCGGCTGTCTTGGTTGTGGTGGACTTGCATACATGTGGCCTGCTTGCTTCGGCCCTTCGTTTCTTCTCCCTCCTCAAGCTGTCCTCAGATTGGCTTGAGTTGGATGTGGAAGAGCTTGGGGCCGCCTCTGGGTCTGGTGCATTGACCTCGCCAGTGCGTGTGTCTGTATTGTTGAAGCTGTTCGCGTCGCTCCTGCGGGATGTGGTTTTGCATTTTTTTGCTT